ATTTTACTGGACAGAGACACAGCGAGAGAGGGAACGCAAGCAGAGGGAGTGGGAGAGGGAGAAGCGGGCTTCCCGCCGAGCAGGGAGCCCGATGCGGGGCTCGATTATCGGGACCCTGGCACCCTGGCACCCTGGCACCCTGGGATCATGACCTGAGCCGAAGGCAGACGCTTAATGACTGAGCCACCCAGTCGCCCCCCACTTTCCACCTTGACCGTGCCTAGTCGTCCACCCGTCTAGTCCTCTTGGCCGCGCCTGGTCTTGCCCTCGAATGTGTTCGTCTGGAGCACAGAGCTAGATCCAGAGAATGAGAGAATGAGATCGATGGACCCACGGACGGAAATCAAGTTTCTCTTTCCCTGAAATGACCTAGGACACTCCTCTTCTAGTCAGCTCCCATCCTGCTCCCCCACCCCCAACAACCTCTCATCGGACCTTCCCCTTTTGCCACCAGAAAGCTTTTCCACTCCTCCGCCTGGCCTGCGTTTGCTTGGCGTCTCTGCCAGACCCAGGCGGTGGTGGCCGACCGCAGACTCTCTTGCCCTCAAGAAATGATTCCCGCTCTCATGTGGGTGATCTTTTATCTCCACAGAGGTGATTAGTTTGGGGAACAAATAAAAGCACTCAGAATAAAAACCATGCCCAGTATCATGCACGCCCTCCTCCCCCTCCCCCCCTCCCCCCTCCCCCTTCCCCTTCCCCCCCTCCCCCCTTCCCCTCCCCCCTTGGCCCCCTTCCCCTCCCCCCTTCCCCCTTCCCCTCCCCCCTTCCCCTCCCCCCTTCCCCCTTCCCCTCCCCCCTCCCCCCTTCCCCTCCCCCTTCCCCCCTTCCCCTCCCCCTTCCCCCTTCCCCTCCCCCCTTCCCCCTTCCCCTCCCCCCTTCCCCTCCCCCCTTCCCCTCCCCCCTTCCCCTCCCCCCTTCCCCCTTCCCCTCCCCCCTTCCCCTCCCCCCTTCCCCTCCCCCCTTCCCCTCCTCCCTTCCCCTCCCCCCTTCCCCTCCTCCCTTCCCCTCCCCCCTTGGCCCCCTTCCCCTCCCCCTTCCCCCTTCTCCCTTCCCCTCCTCCCTTCCCCTCCCCCCTTGGCCCCCTTCCCCTCCTCCCTTCCCCTCCTCCCTTCCCCTCCCCTCGTGGCCCCCTTCCCCTCCCCCCCCTTTGATGTCTACAGGAACCGACAGACTGCATGCATGGCATGTATAGATGGATGGATGGATCGATGGATCGATGGATCGATGGATCGATCGATCCATGGATCGAACGGTGAAGAGAGCCAGGGTGAGGGTGAGGGTGAGGGTGAGGGTCCCGTCCGTCCCTCCCTCCTTCCCTATGTCCATCACATTGTTTCGTCACAGATTTTCGAAGTGGAGATACAATTCGCATGCCATATTTCGCATACTCTTAAAAGTGGGCCATTGGGTGGCCTTTTTTTCTTTTTTTTTAAGGTGGCTCACAAAGCTGCACAACCTTCACTGCAATTTCCAGAACATTTCCATCACCGCCAAAAGAAATAAACACCTCTACTACCCCTCCCCCCTTCCTGTCCGCGCCTCGCCCCCACCCGCCGTCACCGTCGCCCTCGCCGTCACCGTCGCCCTCGCCCTCACCCGGGCTCTCTTCACTGTTCTCCCCCAACAGGGAGTAGAAAGGGAAGTTAGAGGGAACATTCTTCCTCCCCTACACCTGCTGAACGCACATGGACACACACCGCAACCCTCCCCGCCAGGCGCGCGCACCCACCCACCCCCGCCCCGCCACGCCCCGCCCCCCATCCCGGCCTTACGTGTACCTTACGTACCTCTGCACGGACTCGAGATTTGGCAATAGCCTTGATTGCCCTGCAATGTTTCCAAACCTCGGCGCTCCCCAACCTTCCCCACCCCGACCCCCGCCCCTTCGAAGAAGAACTAACCTAATTCGGGGAGCTTCCAGGTTGCTTGAACGCCTGAAATGGTGGGGACAGAGGCGTTCCTGGAGAGGGGTCACGGAACACGGAAGCTCTGCCCCCCTTCCCTTTGCCTCTGTTCCATCTGGAGTTTCCTCAGTTGTATCCTTTTAGGACACAGCGGTCATGTAAGAAAGGAGAAAAAAAAGGACTGAAGGACTGAACCGGGCTAGACTGGTTTAAAATTCTTCACTAGCGTCCCTGCCGAATACATTTCGACGACAGGGGCCTTCGCACGGCTTTTGGTGCACAGAAGACCGATGCACCGAAGCCTGCCGATCTCGGGACGTGTCCACGAGGGGAAAGAGTGTCAGCCTATCGGAAAAGAGAGTCGGTTAACGTAGATTGCAAAGGCATTCGTTCATCCCGAGAGACTTCCTCTCCATGATGGCGGGTGGCGCGAGATGGAAGAGTTGGCTTCCATGAAAAAGGGGCCCTTTCTTGAAGACCCTGCCCAGCTATCGGGGTTTTGTTGGTTTGTGTTTTGTCATCTGTGATAGGAAGGCATCTTCTTAGCCATCGGGAGGGAAACCTCAACAAATTCAGCCATTCAGATCACAAGGGATTTCTTGGGTTTGGTGGATCTGAGATCTGGTCTGCCTCCGACTGCTCCCCGAGATTGCCTTTATGCCGAGAATGGGATTCCTCATCAGACACACAGAAGTCCGGCTCCTTGCCACGGAGCTGGCTGCTCTATGGATGCCTTTAAAAAGGAAGCCTGCCTTTAATTCGGACGTCGGAACGTGATCGGTCGCTTTTTCATGGGGGGTTGGCCAATTAAATTTCCCCCGCCTTGGGCGCCTGGGTGGCTCAGTTGGTTAAGCGGCTGCCTTCGGCTCCGGTCATGATCCTGGAGTCCCTGGATCGAGTCCCGCATCGGGCTCCCTGCTCAGCAGGGAGTCTGCTTCTCCCTCTGACCCTCCCCCCTCTCATGTGCTCTCTCTCATTCATTCTCTCTCTCTCTCTCTCTCTCTCTCTCTCTCTCTCTCTCTCTCTCTCTGTCTCAAATAAATAAACAAACAAACAAACAAACAAATAAATAAATAAATAAAATCTTAAAAAAAAAAAATTCCCCCCGCCTTACAAAGCAGAGACTGGTGAAGGGTCCTCCAAGTGCCCTCTGGAAATCAAGAGCTTCTGTATCAAGAGGCTGGAAAACGCATCTTCCCCTTCTTCCTGGTGAATCCAATTCTAGGGGTTGATTCAAAGGAAATCATGTTTTAGATGCTAAAACGTAAAGCTTACTTTTGCAAAAATGTGCATCGCGGCATAGGGTTTAGGAATCCCTTGTGGCAGACCGACAACCGTGTGTCCCTCACGTCCCGGCACGTGTGCACCCTCACGTCCTATGACTTCGATGCTCCTGCTATCCAGAGGTAGGCTTGATTGCTCTGTCCCTTGATTTTGGACCGGGTCTTGGGACTTGTCTTGACCCAAAGAATAGAGCAGAAGTGACACTTGGCTGGTTTCACAGCCTACACCTGAAGAGGTGGTCTGCCGGCGTTCTCGACCTTCTTGGCATGCCGTCCTGAGACCTCCACGTAAGAAAGCCAGTCTAGCTGACTGGAGCATGAGAGGCATTGACAACAGAGGCAGCCCGGTGCTCGGCGGCACCGACTGCCAGACGTGTGAAAGTTGACCCTCTGGCCGAAAGCCACTGCTTGAGTGAGCCCGGCGTAAACCCGCAGAACCCAAGGGGCCACCCAGGGCAAGCACCAGGAAGTTATCGATAAAGAAATGCTGTTTCGAGCCATTGCGGTGTTAGGATGATGCACCCTGAGGATCAGCTAGCTGCGCAGCAGCGATAGATACCGTGCACACAGATACACACCACACAACACACCACACCACCCCCCCCACACACACACACGTGTGCAGAAAACCAAACCAACGAAACAAACCAAAACTCTGTAGAACCCTGCACCAAATGTTGAGGAAACAACGGCCCACCCTCACAAGAAACACCTGCACGCTACATGTACAATGCATAGGGAGCCTATACTTGCAAGTGCTTACTTGCATGGGAAACATTTCACGATAACACGAGTCTCAGATGGCCCAAGCGGGGTTCTTTTGACATGTCTGAATTGTGTACACAATTAGAGAAAGCCTGCTAGGAGACTGGGTGATCAGAAACTAGGAAGCTCTTTGGTTCCCTCAGTGAAGCCCCGACTTTTGGGGAGGAACCAACACTCAGGGAGATGCTCTGGTCTTCATTTGGTTGGTTGGTTGGTTGGTTGGTTGGTTGGTTGGTTGGTTGGTTGGTTGCTGCAGCTTTTGCTATCTTTGCATAAAACCGACCCTGTTTCCATTGGGAATGGAAAACAACTGACGGGTGGGATCTGTACACGGTAATGCTGCTTCGCAGTTGCATTTGTTTTACTAAAAGAGGGAGATTTGAACATTGGGTCTTTCGTGTCCTCTCCATTCATGTCCTCTCCACAAATAAGACTGAAACAAAGGCTAAAATTTGTTTGCATCTTGTTTGTGTCTATGTGTCCGTATGTGTTATACATGTGAGGTATTTCCTCCACCTCCGGGTGCTATTGCTAACATCCATTTGTAAAGGAGCTCTATTTAATGAGTTCTATTTTTATTTTATTTTATTTTATTTTATTTTATTTATTTTATTCTTTAAAGATTTTATTTATTTATTTGACAGAGAGAGACACAGCGAGAGAGGGAACACAAGCAGGCGGAGTGGGAGAGGGAGAAGCAGGCTTCCCGCCGAGCAGGGAGCCCGATGCAGGGGCTTGATCCCAGGACCCTCGGATCATGACCTGAGCTAAAGGCAGACGCTTAACCACTGAGCCATCCAGGTGCCCCGAGTTTTATTTTTATTAAAGATTCTATTTATGTCTTTGAAAGAAAGCGAGTGAGAGAGCACACGAGCTGGGGGTGGGGGGGCATTGGGAGAGGGAGAAGCAGACTCCCCGCGGAGCAGGGAGCCGGATGTGGGGCTCCATCCCAGGACCCCAGGATCATGATGTGAACGCAAGGCAGACACTTAACTGCCTGAGCCACACAGGTGCCCCTACTTAAAGAGTTTAGAGGCAGGTGCTCGTAAAAATCGGGCATGGTAAAACTCAGATAAGAATAAACCCAGTTTTTCAAGCTCACATGATCTGGGATGAAATTCCCTACATTCAGACTCTTATGTCACTCCACAATAAAGATGCCTCAAGGTAAGGGACCCAAGGGACGGCCCAGAGATAGACAAAAATTTAACACACCTGACCTTACCCCCACTTCCCAACAGTCAAAATAATGAAGAAGAGGAGGAAGACAGGCCGATGCTAGAAATCTGAAATCCACTCCTCCTCCTCCCCAAGTACAGGCACCAGAACCGATGCCCAACCCACTGGCTTCCGGAGGGCTGAAAAGCCACCACAGACAAAGCCTATTAAGCAGAAGGAGATGAAGAAAGGGGCGGAGGCGGAGGCGGAGGCGGAGGCGGAGGCGGAGGCGGAGGCGGAGGCGGAGGCGGAGGCGGAGGCGGAGGCGGAGGCGGAGGCGGAGGCGGAGGCGGAGGCGGAGGCGGAGGCGAAAAAAAAGAAAAGGTTCGTCCAAAACTGTAAATGTATATGTGCCCTGGGCCTTACCAATGGCTCCCTTGCCGCCTCCCCTGCCCCGTTTCTGCACCACTGGTGTGTGTGCCTGGAGTGCTCTACTCCCCTGCCGCCGTCTCAGCCGCCCTTCCCTACCCCCGCCCCCCCCGCCCCCCCCCCCCCCCGGGTGCCATGGGCTCCCCTTTCTCCTCCTCCTCCTCCTCCTCCTCCCCACCCCCTTATCAAGGAGCAAAAGCCCTTGCCCTTGGGCCCAAGCCCTTGGGCCACCTCCTTATGAGGTTTAAATTGGAGCACCTCCCAAACTAGCAGGAAGGGGCCCGAGGGCTCCGCTGATCTTAGACCGCCCGCTTCAGACTTTCCCCAAGGAGTCTGATGGGGGAAAACAATCGATTGACTTTTTAGTGGACGCAGGTGCAACTTCTTTGGCGTTAAAGCCAATTCAAGGTTGTTGGTTTATTTTAAAAAGACGTGGTTTTGGAGCTATCAATGTCACACATAATACAAATAATCAACTTTGCGTTTCTTTCTTTCTTTCTTTCTTTCTTTCTTTCTTTCTTTCTTTCTTTCCCTTTTTCTTTCTTTCTTTCTTTCTTTCTTTCTTTCTTTCTTTCTTTCTTTCTTTCTTTCTTTCCTTTTCTTTCTTTTCTTTGTCATAAAAGCACTTGGATTCGGTTCTCCCTGCGTTACAAGCCGTTGGGTGGGCAGTGGAATGTGCCACGCTCCCGTCACAACAGTGAGCCTGTATTTGTGGTTATCAAAATATACCTCTCCATCACCTTTATAAAAACCAACCAACCAACCAACCACGTTTGGGTGCCTGGGTGGCTCAGTCGTTCAGCGTCTGCCTTCGGCTCAGGTCATGATCCCAGGGTCCTGGGATCGAGCCCCGCATTGGGCTCCCTGTTCATTGGGGAACCTTCTTTTCCCTCTGTCCCTTCCCCTGCTTGTGTTCCCTCTCTCGCTGTGTCTCTCTCTGTCAAATAAATAAAATTTATGAAATATATTCATACATTTGCCAATCTAAAGAATTCTGGTGTAATAGAGAGTGCGCCATTGGTTACTACTAACGTTTCACCAGAGACTGAGATTTCTAAGAATTAAAATTCTGCCACATGGAATTGGGACTGCTACAAAATGATAACAAAAACAACTCCGTGTGTGGGAAGGTAGGAGACGTGTAAAAGAGGTACAAGAAATGAGAAAACATTTTTTTTGTTGAGGGAAAAGGAAGTAATGGTGTACTGAAACGGGACTGGGTACTTAAAGAAAGAAAACTTTAAGACCGAGTCTGAATGAAAAAGGAAATTGTGGAAGGGGTTTGTGAAGGAGAATTTTTGAAAAGGAATTTTATGCATGGTCAGGACTGACTGAGCTTGGGAGAAGGCAGTTTGAAAAGCACACTGGTGGAACTGGAGGGTATTATGTTGAGCGAAATAAGTCAAACAGAGAAAGACATGTATCCTATGATCTCACGGATAGGAGGAATTCTTAATCGCAGGAAACAAGCTGAGGGTTGCTGGAGTGGGGGGTGGGGTGGGAGGGATGGGGTGACTGGGTGATAGACACTGGGGAGGGTAGGTGCTCTGGCAAGCGCTGTGAATTGTGCAAGACTGTTGAATCTCAGATCTGTACCTCTGAAACAAATAACGCAATCTATGTGAAGAAGAAAAAAAAAATAGAAGAAGGTAGCGGGAGGGGACGAATGAAGCGGGGGAAATCGGAGGGGCGGACGAACCATGAGAGACGATGGACTCTGAACAACAAACTGAGGGTTCTAGAGGGGAGGGGGGTGGGAGGATGGGTTAGCCTGGTGGTGGGTATTGAGGAGGGCCCATTCTGCATGGAGCACTGGGTGTTGTGCACAAACAATGAATCATGGAACACCACATCTAAAACTAATGATGTAATGTAGGGGATTAACATAAGAATAAAAAAAAGAAGAAGAAAAGCACACTGGTATAAGATTGAGATTTGGGTTTTCTATGTTAAAATGACAAGGTTTTCTTGGATTGTTAGTGTACTCTTTTTTTCTTTCTTAAGATTGTATTTATTTATTTGACAGAGAGAGACACAGCGAGAGAGGGAACACAAGCAGGGGGAGCGGGAGAGGGAGAAGCAGGCTCCCGGCCAAGCAGAGAGCCCGATGTGGGGCTCGATCCCAAGACCCTGGGATCATGACCTGAGCCGAAGGCCGACAGACGCTTGACGACTGAGCCACCCAGGCGCTCCTCCGAGATTTTATTTTTTAAATAATCTCTACACTGAACGTGGGGCTCGAACTCACAACCCTGAGATCAAGAGTCGTGCTCTCTACCGACTGAGCCAGCCAGGTGCCCCTGGACTGTCATCTCGAAGAGACACATGCGTAGACTCAGATATGGTGAGACTGCTTTAAGAAAGTCAGATTGACTTTATGGAGCCAGTAAAGCCCCTTAGAAATGTTGGCCTGATAACCTTGCTTAGAGAGGTCCCCTCAACCTTACCAGGTGAGTGAAGAGTACCACCTCCTGGCAGATGCAGGAACTTCAGGAAATTTGGAGGCCCTCAAAGAAGAGAGGAATTCACCCAAATCTACAAGTCTTTTTTTTTTTTGTAATTTTTTTTATTCTTATGTTAATCCCCGTACATCACATCATTAGTTTTAGATGTAGTGTTCCATGATTCATTGTTTGTGCACAACACCCAGTGCTCCATGCAGAATGCGCCCTCCTCAATACCCACCACCAGGCTAACCCATCCTCCCACCCCCCTCCCCTCTAGAACCCTCAGTTTGTTTTTCAGAGTCCATCGTCTCTCCTGGTTCGTCTACCCCTCCGCAAATCTACAAGTCTTGCAGGCGAATCTGATGGCCAATATTTGGCTTGGTTCTCGGCTTTAAAAAGGCAGTTAAAGGATCAATCTAAAATTCCTTGTAAAAAGCTCCATCAAAGCAGATTTAAAAGAAGGAAAGGAAAAAGAAAAGAGAAGAAAGACCCCATATATGGTCAATTGCTATTCTTGCTGTCCCTACGTAGATGATTGGGCCAAGTTTGTTAAAACTGGACTTGTTTTACAAACAAATTAATCTTCTTTTGGCTATCTTTGACAGGAATGAAGGTGACTTTAGAGAGAAAGATTACATTTCAATAACACACTTTTGTGAGTGTTAGATTAATTATCTTTGAACGTTTATTGTTTGCCTATAAAACTGGACTGGATCCTGGATCCTTCTGGTTTCCTTGAGTATCTGACTGTGACTCTTCAAACTAAGGTTTCCAACATTCTCCCATTCTCTCTCTTTTTTTTAATTAATTTATTTTTTTATTCTTAGGTTAATCCCCATACATTACATCATTAGTTTTAGATGAAGTATTCCATGATTCATTGTGCATAACACCCAGTGCTCCATGCAGAATGGGCCCTCCTCAATACCCACCACCAGGCTAACCCATCCTCCCACCCCCCTCCCCTCTAGAACCCTCAGTTTGTTGTTCAGAGTCCATCGTCTCTCATGGTTCGTCCGCCCCTCCGATTTCCCCCCCGCTTCATTCGTCCCCTCCCGCTACCTCCTCCTCCTCCTCCTCCTTCTTCCTCCTCCTCCTCCTCTTCTTCTTCTTCTTCTTCTTTTCTCCTTCTTCTTCTTCTTCTCCTTCTTCTTCTTCTTCTTCTTCTTCTTCTTCTTCTTCTTCTTCTCTCCTTCTTCTTCTTCTTCTCTCCTTCTTCTTCTTCTTCTTCTTCTTCTTCTTCTTCTTCTTTTCTTCTTCTTCTTCTCTCCTTCTTCTTCTTCTTCTTCTTCTTCTTCTTCTTCTTTTCTTCTTCTTCTTTTCTTCTCCTTCTTCTTTTCTTCTTCTTCTTCTTTTCGTCTTCTTCTTTTCTTCTCCTTCTTCTTTTCTCCTCCTCCTTTTCTCCTCCTCCTCCTCCTCCTTCTTCTTCTTCTTCTTTTTTTCCCCTTAACATATATTGCATTATTTGTTTCAGAACATTCTCCCATTCTCTTATCTTACAATCATTAAGAACTAAAACTGTCCTTTTTCCTGAAGTCTGGCAAATGAAAGCTGGACAACTTGAAATAAATTTCAGGGAAATGACCACAATAACTCATATATAGACAATCTTTGTGCCTGTTGCTCTATGAGTCACTCAAAATGAGACATTTGAACTATACGCCAGAAAAATTAGTCAGATTGCCCCTGCCCACTCCCACTCTATTGGAGGATGCTTCAAGCCTGACATCTAGAGACCTTCTCACTGGCAGCCCTCTGGACTTAGACACCAGGTGTATCCCTTGTTCCAACCATTAACCATGTTTTCCTTTTGTTTCCATAGAAATGCCTCTTATTAACTACAAGATCACTTGCTGAATGAGGCAGAGTCTATGATCCTTAATTCCACCTTGCTGCACCTGTATTAACTCCTCTTTGGAAAATAAGAACCCATATAAATAGGGGCACCTGGCTGGCTCAGCTGGTAGAACATACGACTCTAGATCTCGGGGTTGTGAGTTCGAGCCCCACATTGAGTGTAGAGATTACTTAATAGAAATCTTTAAAGAAAAAAAAAAATAAAAAAGAACCCATGTAAATAAAATCAAACACTAAGCTACTTGGCTACCAGAAGCCCTTCACCACCACAACCTACCGCCCCCCCCCCAGGGGAGGGGCTCAGACTAATTTACTGATCTGTATTCTTGGATACCCACCGATATCAGATCAATTTGAGAGAGAATGAGAGAATTGGGTTTGACTCTACTGTTACTATTCCTTAGACTACACTTGGGGATAAAATCAATGGTGTCATGTAGTCCCAAACCATGTAGAAAAATAACCAAGTTCTCAGATAAGGAACTATCTCTGAGACCCCCTCCATTAGCACAAGGGACCAAAAATTGCGACCTGCAGTGTCTCAGATCCTTCCATTCCAAAGCCTCTACTGCACCCTAATTCAGCTTGAAGCAGTTAAATAAAGAAGGCAGACCTCTGCCCATGTGTCATAGAAATGGAATGCAGGATGGACAAGGGGAAATTTTAACAGGGAAAAATGTAGCATGTCTGACTCCCTGTTATTTTTATTCCCTTTTAACCTGTAGGTTAAAAACTTCTGTTTAGCCCTGAACATAGCCATGTTACAGCTAAGATTTACAGAAACTGTCGTTTACCCAAAACCTACCTCCCCTGAGGAGATGAAAGAATAGCCACAGCCATCATCATCCCAATTCCCTAAGACTGAGGAATGATCCTCACTTGGTGGGGGTGGGGGTGGGGGTGGGGGTGGGGGTGGGGGTGGGGGTGGGGTGGGGGTGGGGATTGAAACCGTGCCCCATAAGGTTAATGAGGTTGATGCTAGCAGAAAGCTTAAAGCTGGTTTTTCAGGGAACTGTTTCCCCCTAGTCAGCTATTGTGTCTTTTCAGGCCCTGCTACCAAATACTGGCTGTCTCTGCAGAAGTCTGGACTCAAGGTCAACTGATAATGGCTGCAGCCTATGAAGAAGCGAGGTCCTGATTCCTTACCTGAGAAAAGGAGCCTAAGACCCCATCCAGGTTGTACCAGCTCTCAGAGCATGCCCACAGCCTCTTCTCCTTGTCCTCAGATAACCTCCTGACATCAGGGACTCAGTTTTGCCTCATTCAGATGTCAGGTCTCCACCCCGAAGTAAACATGGGAATCTATGGTACATATGTTTCCTGAATATACGTGCTCCAACTTTCGCCATGAATAATCATAAATGTCCCTGCCCTTTTCCTTTTTGAAGTTTGATTGTTTGTTTTTATTTATTTATTTCAGAGAGAGAGACACACAGAGAGAGACAGAGACAGAGAGAGAAACACACACAGAGAGAGAGAGACAGAGAGACAGAGAGACAGAGAGACAGAGAGACAGAGAGCTTGCACGCATGGGTGGGTGGAGGGGCAGAGGGAGAGGGAGAAGACTCCCCATTGAGCAGGGAGCCCCAGAGGGGTGGGGCTCGATCCCAGCACCCTGAGATTATGACCTGAGCTGAAGGCAGATGCTCAACCGGCAGCCACCCAGGCGCCCCTCCATTCCATTTTTTTTTTTTAAAGAGATAAACATTACATACTTTATTTTTAAAAATTCATTCATTCATTCATTCATTCATTCATTCATTCATTCATTCATTTTTCATCATCTGTAGTCCCAGTGTAGGGCTTGAACTCAGGACCCTGACTGAGATCAAGAGTCATGTGCTGTTCTGACTGAGCCACCCAGGTGCTCCTTCTGTTCCATATTTTAAACAACCCTGGGATCATGGCTCAGAGTCACAGTTGGCCCAATGAGACTCACACTCACCCCTCTGTGCAGAGGTGCCATCTGTGGGGCTGGTTCCTGTTTGTCCATCTTCCTTCCTCCTCTTACTGGACAGGAAGGTGGTGTGCGAAAACAGCCAGTGACTACGTGGAATGAGACCGAGGATTTCCCTTGGGAAGCAGGTGGGAGAGGGAGGACAGGTCGATGGATAATCAATAAACTGTTTTGTTTTTTTTTTTTTTAAGATTGTATTTATTTATTTATTTGACAGAGAGAGACACAGCGAGAGAGGGAACACAAGCAGGGGGAGTGGGAGAGGGAGAAGCGGGCTTCCCGCGGAGCAGGGAGCCCGATGCGGAGCTCGATCCCAGGACCCTGGGATCATGACCTGAGCCGAAGGCACATGCTTAATGACTGAGCCACCCAGGTGCCCCAACAATCAATAAACTGTTAATGTTGATTTAGAGGAGTGTGCTTGCTGGGCCCATAACTCGGTGGATGAGTTAGAACGGTCCCTGTCAGGCCTCCCTTAGCCCTTAGCCCTTAGCCCTTATCACTCCATGCTTGTGTTTGGCCTCTGACCGCTAAGATACCACCATCATGTGTTCAAGGTCCTCCTCAGACTCAGCCAGCCACACCATGCCACACCCTCCTACCTGCACACCCATCCCTGGAAGGCAGTATAGTAAGACATCATCCCCCACATTCATGATTCCCAAAGGGTTTACTGGAGTTTCGTGGGTTAGGAAAAGGAGGGGACTCTTTTTGCCCCCAGATGAGGTGAGCTCTTCAGACACCCTCTTTCCCCTTCCCCTCCTCCCTCCCTCCCTTCCCTCCCTCCCTCCCTCCCTCCCTCCCTTCCCTCCCTCCCTCCCTCCCTCCCTCCCTCATCTCTCTCCGAAGTTTGCAAGCTGCAGCCTAAGGGTTAGGGGGAGTTGAGGAAAGCCATTGAATGGAGGGAAGCTCCAGGCTCTGACTTTAACAGAAAGCTTTCTGCATTTGAATGAAGCGATTGAATGAGGCCCATTAGAATGGATCACCCTGAACGTCCCATCAGCCGCCCCAGCCCCAGCCCCAGCCCCCCCATCCCCCCCCAACTGAAGTCCTCTGGTCGAATTGGAACAGTAGGCTGGGGGGGGGGGGGGGGCTGTCCATCCTAAGTTGGTAACTAGGCCCCTGGTCCATAGGGAAAAAATCACGCACGGGTACAGATGAGTTGGTAGCTCAGGCAAAGTGGTCGAAGTGTTGGCAAGGTTTCCGTGGATGAGGGGAGATTTGTTCTGGGACCACCCTCCCATATACATCTCTGGCTGAGAAGAGGACAGGGGAGCCCTGTGGGGGTGGGGGTGGGGGTGGGGGTGGGGGTGGGGGGGCGGGACCCAGATCTGGAGCTCGGAGTGGACTATAGCCGCTGCCTGCCCGGGTGTGTGTGCCTGGGGGGCGGGGGGGGGGGGCGCTGAGGGATAAGGGCTGAGGGTGGTGGGGTCTGCTCACGCTGACTCCTGCAACTCAATTCATCCTGGGAACCTTCTGTTGTTTCTGCTGAGGTGCCAGGTGCTGTGATGACCAAAGCTAAACTCCTCTCTTTGCCTAGTTCTTAAAAGGCCTGATCCTCCTGTTATCTTGTTAAATGGACCGACCCCTGCACCCTCCCATCCTGCCAGACCCCTTGTGCAAATACTTCCACTTGAAGAGTTCTTTCTCTGAATCTAGAAAATAAACAGACAACACCCACCAGCCACACCGACCCCATTGCCACAAATACCTAGCAAAGACAAATCTAGCTGGTCTCCTTCTGCCTCAAGGCACTTTAGAGAGTCACTCTCTCAGACACACCTTAGGCTCAATTACAGGCTGCTGTCTCCCTTTCTCTGGCACAATTCCATCCCTGGAGGAGCCCCATATCGCATCTGCAGCCGTGAGCTGGAGACAGTATGCTCAAGTGACCGGGTGGTAGCACCGTAACTTTGAAATGACCTATACCCCAAGTCATCCATGAACATGGTCCCTGGAAATCTTTGACATTCACGTGCCTCTGATGAAATCCTTGCTTTGGAAACTCCAGCACCCATAGCCAATCTTGTCCATGTTCTGCTAACCTTTGCTCGCCCTCTGTTCGCCTGATATCTTGCCTGATTGTTTACAGAGAAATTAGATCCCATCCAGCAAGAGCTGAATCCGAGTCCTCTGCTCACCCCACGACGGAAAAGAATATGCACAGGCCTGCATCCCTCTTCTCCTTCTCCACCATGTCGGAAGAAAAGGTGGCCCTCCCTCCTCCCATCAGAACCCAAACCCGAGATAAGACTTAGATATAAAGGAAACCAGCATACTGTTTTGAACTCTATATACACTTGTAAAAAACGAGCAGCGGCAAGGAAACACACAAACCACCCCCCCCCCACACACACACAGGTGCAAGGAGGGTGCGCTGACTCGCTGAATCTCCCCCTTTTCTCCCGAGAGGCATCCCCCCCATCCCCCGCCCCCCCCCGAAGATGTCCTCCCTATGCCGGAAGGGGAGTGAGTGACGTTCTTTTCTTCCTTTTTTTTTTTTTTTTTAATTATTCTTTTTAAAAGACTTTTATTTATTTGAGAGGAGGGGGGGGGGGGAGGGAGGGGGGAGGGAGGGAGAGAGAGAGAGAGAGAGAGAGAGAGAGATTGAGAGAGAGAGAAGCAGAGTCTCCGCCGAGCAGGGAGCCCGATGTGGGGCTGGATCCCCGGACCCTGAGCTCAGGGCCTGAGCCGAAGGCAGGCGGACGGTTCACGGATTGAGCCAGCCAGGCGCCCCAGCTTTCTTGTTTCTTTGTCTGCCTGCTTGCCTGCGTGTTGGGTCTGTGGATGTCTGATGCCTGCCCTCTGATTTCGTGGGGAGGTGGGCCGTCTTTCCTCCTTCCAATGGCCTTTGCGCATTTGTCAAACTTCTGTCGGGCTTGGGCCTATCTGTTTGGGTATCTGTGGCGTTCCATCCACCGACCTGTCTCTTTTGTCTGCCAACATCACAGGGTCTCTATCGCCTCTATACATAAGCATGAAACGGGCCCGGAGAGGACGACTTTGTTTCCTGAGTTTTGTTTTGTTTTCTTCGAAATCACCATAGCGATTCTAATTCCTTTTGCCTGTCTGCTTGTGTATGTAATCTGTACACCCATCCAGTGCGGTGCTGGAACTCACGACGCCCGCCGATCAAGAGTCGCGGTCGCGTGGGCCTCCTCCGACCGAGCCAGCCAGGTGCCCTGAAATACGTGTACTTGAAAAACCAATGTGAAGCCTGCACCCGTGAACTTTTTTTTTTAAAGATTTTATTTATTTATTTGAGACAGAGAGAATGAGAGAGACAGAGAGCACATGAGAGGGGGGAAGGGTCAGAGGGAGAAGCAGACTCCCTGCCGAGCAGGGAGCCCGATGCGGGACTCGATCCCGGGACTCCGGGATCATGACCTGAGCCGAAGGCAGTCGCTTAACCAACTGAGCCACCCAGGCGCCCTTTTTTTTCTTTTCTTTTCTTTTTTTTTTTTAATAGATGCACCCGTGAAGTGTTTACTGCGAAACCTTCTTTTGATCGTCGCACTCTTGAGTGGAGGCCGTACCAGTAAAGAACGTAGTTTAGCCAACTCAGGAAGAGATCAGCTTTAAAGGAAAACCTTCTTTTCGAGTTTGTGATGTCTGGTCCTTTCTCTCAACTCGATCGATGTCCAGCCTTCAGAGCCACATTATTTGCTTGGTCTCTCTCTCTCTCTCTCTCTCTCTCTCTCTCTCTCTCTCTCTCTCTCTCGTCTGTGTTTCCTCGTGTACTTTCCTGATGCTCAGGATTTATGGTTTAGAGAGAACAGTTTTCAGCCTGGTGTGTGTGTGGGGGGGGGGGGGATGTTGTGAAGTGGGATCAGGGATTCACGCGGGTAAGGAGGAGGCAAGGAGAAAGGCTTGGTTGGGAAGGAAACCATTAAAGGTCCATGTTGAAATGGTGAAGTTTATTTTATTTATTTATTTATTTATTTATTTATTTACTTTTTAAAGATTTTATTTATTTATTTGACAGAGAGAGACAGCGAGAGAGAGAACACAGGCAGGGGGAGTGGGAGAGGGAGAAGCAGGCCTCCCGCGGAGCAGGGAGCCCGATGTGGGGCTCGATCCCAGGGCCCTGGGCTCGTCACCTGAGCCGAAGGCGGACGCTTAACGACTGAGCCACCCCCCAGGTGCCCCGAAATGGTGAAGTTCAATGTAGTAAGAGTTACCTTTAATCAAAGGAATTCTTTTTTTTTTCTTTTATTTTATTCTTATGTTAATCCCCATACATTACATCATTAGTTTTAGATGAAGTGTTCCATGATTCATTGTTTGTGCACAACACCCACTGCTCCATGCAGAATGGGCCCTCCTCAATACCCACCACCAGGCTAACCCATCCTCCCACCCCCCTCCCCTCTAGAACCCTCAGTTTGTTGTTCAGAGTCCATCGTCTCTCATGGTTCGTCTACCCCTCTGATTTCCCCCCGCTTCATTCTTCCCCTCCTGCTACCTCCTCCTCCTCCTCCTCCTCCTCCTCCTCCTCCTTCTTCTTCTTCTTCTTTTTTTTTTCTTAACATAGATTGCATTATTATTTGTTTCAGAGGTACAGATCTGAGATTCAACAGTCTTGCACAATTCACAGCGCTTACCAGAGCACACACCCTCCCCAGTGTCCATCACCCAGTCACCCCATCCCTCCCACCCCACCCCCCACTCCAACAACACTCAGTTTGTTTCCTGCGATTAAGATAATCAAAGGAATTCTTGCTGGAGGTTGCTTCTCCCCTCTCCTCCCTGGATAGGGGAGTGAAGTTTTTTCGAGGTCCCTAGTGGACACAGAAAGCGTTCAAGTGCCCCTAGCACCTATGGATGGGGCTCTGTTGCCCTCTAGTGTCCTATCCTCTGCTACTGCTGCTCGTGGTTTCCTCTGACGTCGTATTCGTCACAGGTGTGTATCTTTGATGGTTAATGCTGCTCGGTGTCGGTTGTTTGCGTGTTTGTTTTTGAAAGCTTTTTGAGTGATCATCCAGCATGGTGCTGGAACTCACGACCCCTGCAGATCAAGAGTCGCAGTCGCGTGGGCCTCCTCCGACCGGAGCCAGTCAGGTGCCCTGAAATGCGCTTAGTTGAAACAGGAAGAAAGAAAAAACAAAAAACAAAACCCAAACCATTTTTTTTTTCCCCCTTTACGAGCCAGAGGAAGTTCTACGCCTTGTTTTTGTTTTACCCTTAATAGCATGGAACAGTTCCCCTCCTCCTCCTCCTCCTCCTCCTCCTCCTCCTCCTCCTCCTCCTCCTCCTCCTCCTCCTCCTTCTTCTTCTTCTCCATCATCATCATCATCATCATCAATATTTAACTCTTCTAGAGCACCTCCCCCGCCCACCCCGTACTAGTGTTGGACGGCACGGATGTCCCGGAACTGGATTTCTTTAAAGATATATATTTTTACGATTTTATTGATTTATTTGACAGAGGGAGACACAGCGAGAGAGGGAACACAAGCAGGGGGAGTGGGAGAGGGAGAAGCAGGCTTCCTGCCGAGCAGGGAGCCCGATGCGGGACTCGATCCCGGGACTCCGGGATCATGACCTGAGCCGAAGGCAGTCGCTTAACCAACTGAGCCACCCAGGCGCCCTCTTTTTTTTTTTTTCTTAACATAGATTGCATTATTTGTTTCAGAGGTACAGATCTGAGATTCAACAGTCTTGCACAATTCACAGCGCTTGCCAGAGCACCTACCCTCCCCAGTGTCTATCACCCAGTCACCCCATCCCTCCCACCCCACCCCCCACTCCAGCAACCCTCAGCTTGTTTCCTGCGATTAAGAATTCCTCCTATCCGTGAGATCATAGGATACATGTCTTTCTCTGTTTGACTTATTAGGATACATGTCTTTCTCTGTTTGACTTATTTCGCTCAACATAATACCCTCCAGTTCCATCCACGTCGTTGCCAATGGCAAGATCTCATTCCTTTTGATGGTTGCATGATATTCCATTGTATGTATATATATACCACATCTTCTTTATCCATTCATCTGTCGATGGACATCTTGGCTCTTTCCACAGTTTGGCTATCGTGGATATTGCTGCTATAAACATCGGGGTGCACGTACCCCTTCGGATCCCTATTTTTGTATCTTTGGGGTAAATACCCAGTAGTGCAATTGCTGGATCATACGGCAGCTCTAGTTTCAACTTTTTGAGGAATCTCCATACAGTTTTCCAGAGTGGCTGCACCAGCTTGCATTCCCACCAACAGTGTAGGAGGGTTCCCCTTTCTCCGCATCCCCGCCAACATCTGTCATTTCCTGACTTGTTACTTTTAGCCATTCTGACTGGTGTGAGGTGGTATCTCATTGAGGTTTTTTTTTTTTTTTTAAGATTTTATTTATTTATTTGAGAGAGAGAGAGAGAGACAGAAAGAGAGCATGAGAGGGGGGAGGGTCAGGAGGATCAGAGGGAGAAGCAGACTCCCCGCTGAGCAGGGAGCCCGATGCGGGACTCGATCCTGGGACTCCAGGATCATGACCCGAGCCGAAGGCGGTCGCTTAACCAACTGAGCCACCCAGGCGCCCTCATTGAGGTTTTGATTTGGATTTCCCTGATGCTGAGCGATATTGAGCACTTTTTCATGTGTCTGTTGGCCATTTGGATGTCTTCTTTGGAAAAATGTCTGTTCATGTCTTCTGCCCATTTCTTGATTGGATTCTTTGTTCTTTGGGTGTTGAGTTGGATGAGTTCTTTATAGATTTTGGATACGAGCCCTTTATCTGATATGTCATTTGCAAATATCTTCTCCCATTCTGTCGGTTGTCTTTTGGTTTTGTGGACTGTTTCCTTTGCTTTGCAAAAGCTTTTTATCTTGATGAAGTCCCAAGAGTTCATTTTTGCCTTTGCTTCCCTTGCCTTTGGCGATGTTTCTAGGAAGAAGTTGCTTTGGCTGAGGTCAAAGAGGTTGCTGCCTGTGTTCTCCTTTAGGATTTGGATGGACTCCTGTCTCACATTGAGGTCTTTCAACCATTTGGAGTCTATTTTTGTGTGTGGTGTAAGGAAATGGTCCAGTTTCATTCTTCTGCATGTGGCTATCCAATTTTCCCAACACCATTTGTTGAAGAGACTGTCTTTGTTCCATTGGACATTCTTTCCTGCTTTGTCAAAGATGAGTTGACCATAGAGTTGAGGGTCCATTTCTGGGCTCTCTATTCTGCGGAACTGGATTTCTTGAGTGAAGGACTATTTTAACTCCCTTCCTCCCCATTCCGCGCCTGCCCCCGCCCCGCCCCCGCCCCCGCACGCACCGCCCCGCCCCGCCCCCCGCCCCCGCACGCACCGCCCCGCCCCGCCCCCCGCCCCCGCACGCACCGCCCCGCCCCGCCCCCCGCCCCCGCACGCACCGCGCGCCCCGCCCCCCGCCCCCGCACGCACCGCGCGCCCCGCCCCCCGCCCCCGCACGCCCCGCCCCGCTTGTTGGCCTTGGACGTTATCGCGTACGTGCAGAGACGGATTTGATGTGCACCTTTCTGGGGGTGTGTGTCAATCCCCCCCCCCCCTTCCTGTCCTGAGCTTTCTTCGTATGCTTCAGAGAGACCTCCTCCTCCCCTTAAAATGATAGAAGAGAGAAGGTTCATCCGTGGTGGTTGTCGGAGTACTCGCTTGGTCTCGGTTTTACGGTCCTTGCCCGCCGAAATGTGTCTTAAGTCCTCCCGGAAGCCCGGGCGCCGCAGGTGTGCCGCTGTGGGAGGCCCGTGCCCCACGAGATCGGGCGGCCGGGCGGCCGGGCTGTGCGCCTTCGCGGGCCCGCGATCCGGATCTGCCTCGTTGTTGTTCGCGCCGGTTGTCGGGTGCCACCTGGCGGCCGCTTTTAGATAGCGTGTCCCCGCCGGAGTGTCAGCGATGTCGGCAAGGGATTGTATTTGGCCGCGGTTCCCGAGGCGGAGTACCGGGAGGCCGGCGACGCTAGCGAGATCGGCCCGCTGTCTCCGGGCCACCGGCGCGACCTCCGCTCGCGGGAGATTGAGCCTCCAGGTTTGTGGGCTGGTGGTGGCGCCGCCGCCTCGCTCCCGGAGAGCCACGCTAGGGTGGCCGCCTGGACGGGTCGACCAGCACCCGCCGGTGCCCCCTCCTCCGCCCGCGGGAATGGGAGAGGCTGCGTCGGGCGCCCGGACGCCATCCGGCCCGTGGCTCCGGTCGGCCGTTGGGCCTTCCGTGTCACGCTCGGGCGGTTGGGGACCGGCCTGAGCCTTGCGGGGAAGCCCATGGATGGCGCGACGGGCCCCGCCGCGGGCACGCGTGGGGTCCCGGTCATCGGACCCGATATTTTTTTTTTTTTTTTTTTAAGGTTTTTATTTATTTATTTATTTGAGAGAGAGAGAATGAGAGACAGAGAGCATGAGAGGGAGGAGGGTCAGAGGGAGAAGCAGACTCCCCGCCGAGCAGGGAGCCCGATGCGGGACTCGATCCCGGGACTCCAGGATCATGACCCGAGCCGAAGGCAGTCGCTTAACCAACTGAGCCACCCAGGCGCCCCGGACCCGATATTCTTAACAAGTTTTCCGAGGCCCGCTGCGGAGGTGGGGACCCGACCGGGTCGGGCCGGGCCGGGCCGGGCCGCGAGGGCCCCAGGGGCCCGGCTGCGGTTCCCGTTGAGGTCCGGCCTTCGGGGGGACGCCTCCGCGGCATCGCCCCCTTTCCTCAGTCCCGGCCGGGAGTCGGGGACCGGCATGGGGCGGTCCTGAGGCCCGGGGAGGAGGGCGTCCGCAGGGGCCTCCACAGAACTTGGTGAGAATTTCTAAAGTCCCGATTTGGGGACGAAAGGCGGACCCGGGGGCGGGCCTATCCGGGCCGCTCCACCTCCCGCCAAGTCCCTACTCGCTGCCGGCTGCCACCACGTTCCGGGGGTCGACCAGATGGCCCGGGGGGGGGGGGGGGGGGCGGGGGGGGCGGGGGGGGGCTCCGGGGGGAGACGGGGGCGATGGATTAGTGCTTGGGGCCCGTGGCCGGGACACGGTCCCAGGAG